AAGTTGTGACATTTTTAGGGGCTACTGATAATAGTGTCGCGGAAGCAGAATATAAGTTAACCAAAATAAAGTTAGCTGAATGGACAAACAAAACAGAAACTAAAGCGTTTTGGAGTGAAGTGAGACAATTTAAAGATGCCTCAACAAGTCCATTCTGTAAGCTCTTTAAAGTGCCATGTCTACCATGATACTACCCCACTCAAATGCTGACGTAGAAAGAGTTTTCAGTGCTAGGAATTATATCAAATATGACCTGAAAAACAGGATGAAATTTGACCTCTTAAATGCTATCGTGCCATTAAAATTCGGCCTGATGAGACTAGAGAAATAGGCCTAAGCCTACTGTTCCACTCATAAAGAAATTTGAACAGCGCAAGCATTCCAGGGTCATTTTGGATCTGAAGCTTCAACTTCATTATCCAAGCTAAGTTTATCCTGTGGATCTTGTGAGGCAGACATCAGTGAAGGTGAGGACATAATTATGTAGGGTAAGTCATAACAAAAGCTATGTAATTTTCGACTTTTTCAATTTGGATGTTTTGTCTAGATCTTTTCCACGCAGATTTAGATCTTTTTAGATATTTTTGGACACCGTTTTGGATATTTTTTGTCAAAGAAAAGTGGCAACACTGACTACATCGATATCCGCCATTTTCCCCAACCGTCAGCGAGACGTAAGTATCTCACATTCTAACTATTTATACATTGATCTTACAGCAGGACTTGATTGTCAGTATCTTGTTTACCTAACAATTTTTGACATTAGTTGTTGAATTTAATAGTTTATATCGCATTTTTTGTTGTGTTTTTGTTAAAATTCCTAAATTACCAAAAGAACGCTGTCGTTTTCTTTTCTTGGCGGCACGGTACCACAGCATGAACTGACGCCATTTTAAACTCATCTGCATCGGACATTAATTATTTTCTCTGAATATTTAAAATACAGTGAAATTTGTTGAGTGCTGAGAGCTGTAGTAGTGCATTTAAGTAAATTTGGAATTGCAGTGCAACCGTACACAAATAAAACAATTAACAAGCAAGAGGTCTGTCATGCATCAGTCGTGTACTTCGGATTCACATAAAAAACGACCACGGGAAATTTTTAGGGGTGTATAACGTTACAAGGTCCCTGTTTCTTCCCCAGTGCGCTTCTTGTACTGATGTCTGCAAATTCTATATCGGCCTTTTTGGGCCCTCTTTCGAATACTGGTCCCAAATGATTCACAGCTAAAAACATCCCTTTAAAAGTCTAGAGAGGTTATGTAGTAAAAACATTTCGGTCATCATGATCATTAGTTTCCATTTCTGTCGTTATTGCTCGATAGATAGCAATCATGCAATGTTCAGACATTAATCTAAGCGCAGTGGGTAGGAATAGTTTCAGATTCATTGAAGCGTCTTGGTGAGGAATCGTTTTTGTATCCATTGTTTAAGCGTCATGGGGAGTAGTAGTTTTCGATTCATTAAAGCTGCGTGCGGATGAATAGTATGATCCATTGTTCACATTACCCATGACTTCCCTTGTGGATTCTAGGGCCACATGTTTAAGAGAAAAAAAGGCTCTACTTGGAACAACACCATAAAATGGCGGCCGTAATATGATGCCACATTCTAGCCATAAAATATCCAAAAATATCCAAACGGTGTTCAGGCGTCTAAAATACGGACTTTCTGTCAAGGAACAAATCGCGACAAAACTAGGATTACTTGACAATCAATATCAACATTGCACACTGTAGCAGACGATAAATACCGACCGTTGACAATTTTGAGCGTTTCTGCAGATGATATTAGCGACCGTTGACCACTTTCGAGACATTACAGACGATGAAAGCCGATTAGCAATACTGTGTTCTTCCGATTGGAGGATTTAGCAGCGGTAGATGTCTTGTCGGCATGCACCAAACGCGATTAAGCTCATCGCCGAGCATATCTTCCGCGCTGCTACGCGCAGCGCTGGGGGGGGGGGGGGGGGGGGGGGGCTAAACTAGGTGCCTGGGACTCACGAGTAAAGTAATTGGAGGAAGCTGCAGGAGATGCCGTGGCTGCCGCTTGTGAGTCCCAGCCATCTAGTTCAGTCCCCATCCGCGCCGCGCGTAGCGGCGCGGAAGATACCGTTGGCGGTGAGGCGCACTCGCAGAAGCAGGTCCGCAAGTAACATATCGCCGAGACCCTGTTAGAGCATTTGTTTTGTTGTACAGAGCCGGCATATATATTTTCAATAGAACTGAGCCCCATTCAAATATTTTTGAATAATTTATGGCCAGAATGTGGCCAGTTTAGCTCTCTTTCGAACGGCACCATATTGCGGCCACCATTTTATGGTGCCGTTCCAAGTAGAGCCAAAAAAAAGCAATAGACTCACTGCTACATAAAAAGCATGTTGTAAAAGACGACTAAATAGGCCTTTGCTGAAATTGGATGTGTTGGGGCGAAAGGCACCGATATCCCAGGGTAGCTGTAATCCACAACACAACATGCCAACCGCCCTTTTAAAGGAAAAAGAAGGAATCACCGGGCGGTAAATCGAACACGGGTCTTACATGTGACAAGCGGAATACTTACAACTGAACTTTTTTTTTTTTTTGGAAATATCTTGTAATTATTGATATGACTAAAATTTAATTTATATAGTTTCGCATTTTGCTTTGATTTAGGATGTGATTATTATGATAGAAAATTGTATATGAGTAATTAGACAATTTCACTAATATTATATCATTAAAACCCTATTTAGTGGTACGGTTCTGTTCACATTTCCAAGCCCAGTATTATAGTAACTTCCCTTGCCATTCATGCCTCCTTAGGTCGCTAGACCGCTCCTATGTTGCGGGGGTGTTATGGTATGGTTTGGTGTTCCCCCTGCATATGTTTATATGAGGTTGTGTTGTATTTCGGGCGCTGTGTTCAAATAAGTATTGCAGGGTGAAGCGCACTATCAAAACTGGGATGTTTTTGTATTTCTATGTTGGTTGTGGCTTACCCCTAAAAGAAAGAAAGCAGTTACAAAGATAGTAGAAATAGAAAAATATTGCTCTTTCCATACTCCAGAACCGTCGCGCAAGTAGCAGAACGTGAAAATAATCATGCAGGAGAGCGGTGACAAGAAAAGAGGCACCGGTTAAACCGCCATAATAAGGCTCCCCCGCACCATAGAAAAGGTCCCAGGGACCCAAGGAGGCATGGATGGCAAGGAAAGTTAGGCTCTCCTGTCAAATCCGGACGAAGAATAAAAAGCCTCTGACGACTTTCTCTCCCTTGGCCGCACTGCGAACAGTGATCGGAAAAGCCAACGAAACAAACGACACACTTACCTATCATCATACGGTTGTGTGTAGGGTTGCGTAAGGCATCGTGAAGGGATGCGTGGTCATCATATGGTTGCGTGCAGGGTTCGTACGGTTGCGTGAGGCATCGTGAATGGTTGTGTAGTCATCATGCGGTTGTTGGGTTAGAGTTAGGGGTAGGGTTAGGGTTAGATGTGAAAATTTTGACGTAGGGTTTCGAAATACTGGCCGACAATCTGATGTTTGTGGGCGTGGCGCCACTGAAATTCTGCTAAATATGTCGCCAATAGTGTGCGGCTGGTGCCCAATCGTTGGCGAATTGTGCGTTTGACCAGCATCCAGAGGCCCTCAATTGTTTGTGTGTGTATGTGACTGTGTACGGCGTCGACGAAGTTGGTCTGATGGACTACTACCTCGTGCAGATAGATGCCATGGCGTAAGTTTGCCACGTTTCTGTAGCCTCGCCAAGCGTCAGTCACGATAGTCGTTCCCAGCAACTAAGTCATGCGTCGGAAGAACGATGTTAGTTATGTGAGAGCGTCTAACTGCCATGTTGCTTGTGTCGTTTGTTTCGTTGGCTTTTCCGATCACTGTTTGGAGTGCGGCCAAGGGAGAGAACTCTAAGTCGTCCAAGGCTTTTTATTCTTCGTCCGGATTTGACAGGAGTACCGAAAGTTACTCTAATTCTGGGCCTGCAAACGTGAACAGCAGCAGTAGTATTATAACTTGAGAATGATCAGGAAATATTTAAAACAAATTAACTAACCTCTAGGTTTTTAGCAGTAGCAGTAATGCTTCAACTCTGAAAACTCTAGAAAACACAGGAACTCGCCACCAGATTTACACAGGTAAATTAGTAGGGTTGGCTGCAGTGGATCTCCAGTGCTGTCTCTCATTTTGGTAGGACAAGGACTCTGACTGCTGTCCATCCATCTTTTGATATTGTATTGACATTGAGAGTGTTATCTTCCGCATATAGGTTAATGGGCCCCATTGTGGGGGGGGGGGGGAAACAAGAATATACCCCCTGTTTTCCCCCTTTCTGCAAGCATGTCTTAGGAGTCAACTAATTGGGGACTTTCTTAGAAGTCAGAGTGCACACAAAACTCACGAACAACCAGGACTTTTCCCTAAAGCTCACAGCAGAAACAAAGAAGTAGTATTGCTATCTACCTTTTGCTGTCTTTTGAAGTTTTCCTCCAGTATGGTTTTAGAAGTGTTGTCTTTTACTGTTGATGACATTTTTTTGTTTCTTCATTATTTCTCTGTCTCTTTTATTCAGTCTTTCTGGAATCTCTATTTTTGATTGTTTCTGCTTCCATAAAATATGACATTCTTCTGTATATCCACATTTCCAGAGACTCCGTTTATCTAGTTGGTTGTTTATTGTCCAGGTTTTCTGCATCATACAGCCTGATTAAGTATACATAACATTTGAAAATTCTTATTTTTAATTTATTGTTTGATGTGTTTGTTGTCAGTAATTTGTACATCTTCTTGATGAATAGGTTTAGTCATTCTTGTAGACAGGTTACAAAAACAATTTTAAATAATTTATGTACATAAACATTTGTTTGTTCAAGAAGTGTACGAAAGGGGCTTACTTCATTACTTTTCTTTTTATTAAAGAAATTAATAATACATCTATCTGTATTTTCTCGTTTGTCTTTCACAGTTGCTTTTCAACAGGTCAAACGTTTATATCCAAATACCATGTCAGAATTCAGAGGCCGGGGCAGCCGAAGCAGAGGTACCAGAGGACGAGGTGGTCCTTTCAGAGGAGGCCCCAGAAGAGGCGGCTATTCCACTGACCGTGATGGCAGTAGAGGTGGTTTCAGCAGAGGCCGCGGCGATGGATTTTCTAGAGGGAGAGGTGGGCCACCTAGGTAAGCATATGTTTCTATTGGGTTTGTGTGTGTGTAGAAAAACATGTTTCCATACAACTTATCGCCTGAAAATACTGAACATGTACTCCAGCACTAATTGTGCACTTCTGGCAGAAGCAGTCTGGGCTGTTCCACCTCAGAGTAAATATGTATGATGCGCAGGGAGATTCAGGCTACACCATACTTGTCATTGCGACAATTGGCAGAAGTATTTTGACAGAAGGATCAGCGAAAAAATATTATAGTTTGAAATTATTGTAACAGGCTGTTTAAATTGACTGGATGGGAGAAATTGAGATTGTGTGGCTGAGAGGCTAGTGAAATCATTTTACACTGTGATCTCTGACATTTACCAGGGCTGGCTTTCTATAGTAGGCGGTTAGTCAGTCTATTCTTGTGGCTTGTAGACAGTGGTTCAAGAGTTTGACCTTGGAAGATGTTGGGCCCTTACCACGTAGAATTGTCATGATAAGTGGATAAAGGACAGCCTACCTCCTTTGTGAAGACAGCAGGTTTAATATGTGCATGTACGTGTTTACACACACACACTAACATTGCAGGGAAAAGTGCCATAAATCGACTTCTTTCTAGCAAACATACCGCCACCGCAGAGATTATCCCCCGCGCAGCATGGAGGGGGCTAAACTAGATGGCTATACCCACGAGCAAATAAAATAAGGAAGCTGCAGGAGATGCAGTAGCTGGCGATCGTAAGTCCCAGCCATCTAGTTTAGCCCCCCTCCATGTAGCGGCGCAGGGAAACTCGGCGGCGAGTTTTAACTCGACGGTTTGTAGCGTTTCGTGACATCATTGCCAGAAATGTATCCCACTTTTGCCGTGTATTTTGTTGCGTTTCGCAACATCAACCCCGAATATTTATCCTGCTTTTGCCGCGGTATATCCGCCGGAAAGAAGTCCCCAATTAACATATGATTGAGGCCCTGTCAGGGGTTTTTTTTTGGTCGCCATAATGTGTGGCTGTTATTCGGAGGATAGCTGGACTTATGTATATACATGTTAATTTTAATTTATCTGTTGTATTAAAATATCTCATGCGCTTACGAAATATTTTGATGTTGTCAGACACTTAAACCGAGATGAGTCTCCACCAAGAAAAGGTCCCCTCTTGTCTCGAGGTTATGATTCAGAACGTGGACGAGGTCCACCAATCGGTAAGTAATTTTCCATTTTTTTTCCCAGCTACCCCTTACTGTCTTCAGTACCTTATCTTGTGTTAGTCAGTATTAAGGGTTTTTATTGATTGTATGAACAAATCCAGTTTTGACAAGCTGCTAATTAGCACCTTTTCCAACTGATGTTTGTTAGGGGGGCAGTGCTTCCGTTCCTTACTTTACCCAGAAATGAGGCCCTAGCACCATCTGGAGATCAGAAACCACTGATGTATTCTGTTTATGGCATTAGATAATGTTGTTGTTTAGTTATTTTGTAGTTTTAGCAGCAAATGAGAGTCGTTGACGCGTAGTGAGTTTGAGTCCTGATGGTACCAGATTTTTTTGTTTCTTAAATGATCTTGGCTCCCATGTCGACGCAGCATTGACTGGGTACCAGGTGAAGTAAAGGCGGCTAGCGTGATGCTGAACACATCCCCTGCCAATTGGTCTATAAAATATCGGTCTAGTCCTATATACGCAAAGCCTGAAGGTGTGGAAAAGAGTCCTTTACTGGTATAATTATTTTTTTAGTTTTATCAGCAAATGGGAGTTAACCAGATCTAGTGAATTCTGGTCTTGACGGTACCGGATTCTTTCATAAATGACCATGGCTTCCAGGTTGACCCAGCCCTGAATGGGTACCAGGTGGAGTCCTGGGAAGTAAAGGCGGTTGGCATGATACTGACCTCATCCCCCAACCAATTACTGATTGGTCTATAAAATAAAGGTCTAGCCCTATATATCCATTGTACCTGAAGGCAAATGGTCCTTTTCTTACTTTTACTTTAGCAGCAAATGGTTTCTTTACCACAGTCACCTGTAAAATGTTAAATGTGTATTCAACAGCCATATTCACTATTAATAGCCATTTTGTCTTTCTATTATTGACAGATCGTCGTTTGGACAGATATGAAGACGGTTATGACAGAGGTATTCCTTCCAGAACTCGAGATCTTTATGATTCACCCCCTAGAGACTCTGGTCGTTTGATGGACAGGTATGTACTAAGGTCATGCACCTTGTGAGGTTTTGTAAAGATAAATGTTTGATAGGTAGATATTGTGGCATTTGTCAGATAGGCAACTTGTGAAGTTACAAGCTACGTAGGCAGATGTTTTGTTAGATTGTTGGGTCCCGAGGTCATTTACACAGGTCCCATTAATGCTTGTTATATAGATAGGTCGTTTATTTGTCAGATAGGTAAGTGTTTAGGTTACATGTTGCATAGGCAGATGCTTGTTTAGATTGGCAGGTCTTTAGGTCATTTATGTAGATCCTGGTTGTTAGTAAATTTTGCTCTGTATAATTCTAATTCATTTGCCTAATTTAAAATCTGTTTTATTTTTTTTCCCTCCTAGGAATAATTTTACAGCATATGGCTTAAATTTACCTAAAATTCTTTGCTGTGCTTCAGGCACCTTTCTTTGCGGTCAAGATACAGTAGTTTTTATTTTCAGTGTTTTGTTAGTCTTCATGTGTTAATCTTCTGTTATCCAGATCATCACCACCCCTGCGTGGCAGCTATCAAGACAGAGACCATGGTATCAGTTCTCGAGACGATGGTGACTATCCCAGTTCTAGAGGAGATTTCCTTTCTCCCCGCAGCTACGGTTCTCATAGAGAGTCAGGGTGCGTCATTTTTTTCATGTTGCAGTTTCAGACTGGGTCAAAACTGTAATCATTAACCGTTCCTGTGAGGCTAAACATGTCTCAGGGCTCCCCTGTGGAACACATCTGCAATACACCCCACAGTGTTACATGTTGGCTAAATTGTTCTTCCAGTCACTTTTAAATTTTTCTTCCTCTTAATACTACTCTCCAGCCTTCTCTCTTTGACTCATATTCCATATTATCTTGAGTATATGTATATATCTGTGTTCACATACAGTTTATGTGATGCTAAGGAATAATTACTGTTAATGGTGAAATGTCTTAGAAATTTGACTTACTGCATTTGCAATCCAGTGTATGTTGTGTATGTGCTTAATGAAACCCCTAGACTTTAGCCCAGAGATTTGTGTTACTGCATGTTGTGTACCTGTGTTGGCACTGATTTCTTGGCACCCACAGTTTGTAAATATGTTGTTGTTGTCGTCTATTCTGCATGTATGTTAACTATCTAACAACTTAATTTTTTAAACTGTAAAACTTGTGTTGTTCGTTTTGTTTTATTTCTCACTTAATTTTGCCTTCTTTTTTTGTTTCAAACTATACGACTTGTTTGTTGCTTTTGCCTCAGAAACCCTTTTTTAGAAGTCTTCAAAAGGGTTCAGAAATAGTCATCCCCATGTGGGTTCCAGGGTTCTATTATAGAAAAAACAAGAATAAACCCACTGCCTACCTAAAAGCATGTCATAAGAGTCGGCTAATTAGGAGCTTTCTTCAAAGTCGAAGTGCATCTGCATAAGAGGCAAGGAACCAACAGTCTGCATACACATTAGTCAGATCTGTCAAATGAATGCTTACGCAACACTCAGGTTCTGGAATAGGACTGCAGTCTAGAAGTGGACGAGCAACCAGAACTTTTCCCTGGAGTTGACAGCTGGTGAACGCGAAGAAGAAATAGTCATTTTACACAGGTCACTAATAATGATAATGATAAAAATTAATTTGTATAAAAAAAACCAGTATATGAAGGTGAGTAATCAGTTACTACCCTTTGAGTGGAAAATAAAATGTGATGCATTTGCTTGGACCCCTAGAAATGTATACAGTGACTTACACTGCTGAAGGAGAATTATGACATCACACGACAAACAAAAGCAGTTGTTTTCATAGTAGCGCCCTTCCCCCATCAAATATGATCTTTCTAGACACTGAGTAGCAGAAATACACACATCACATTGTTACTCTGCACATTAAACTACGTAAGACTTATTTCAACCACATGAACCTTTTGTTTACACTTTTTCTGTGTTGGCTTTTGTCTGATTTGCAGAATCTCATTTGTTGACCACCCATTTTCAAATCTGCTCTGCTACTCTATTTTACTGCTGTCTTTCTTTCTGTTCAGTCAGTTTTAAATTGAAATTTATTATTAGACGTAGAGACACTTGTTCTTTAACAATTTGGGTTGGAATGTGAGTTATCTTGTATCTGACAACTCGAACAATGGCCAGTGTTATCATTATGTTCTCTTCTTAAAATGTTAAATGAATAAATGTATGAAACTGTTGAGGGTTGGTTGGTTTAAGAAAAGAAACAACCTTGGAACTTATTTTATTTAAATAATTGATGGGTTATCAGCGGGAATGTAAAGTGTAAATCATAAAGACTAAGCAACAATTTTCTGTATATTTTTAAGTGACTTAATCAGAGATGTCATTGATAAGCCAGGTGGTATGAAAGCCTATCTATAACGCTGTGAAATGATAAATTTCATTTTCTGCACCTGTTGTGAAAAAAAACAAAAATTGGTCTTCTGTTAGTTGTTAACAAAGTCACGTTTATAATTTAGATTTCTGATTATAAATTAGGCATAGAGCTGTATCCATTGTTCCTGTTCTTTTGGGTTTAATGGAATTGAGTAATATCACTGGCTTTATTGATATGCACAGTCAGTCAGTTACAAGACAAGCATCTGGAGGGATAAATAAGGGTTTGTGATACTTTAACATTACATATGTGCAACCACACAGTGATGCCAGCCAAAGCAGAAAATGCACATAAATACAGAAGTTTTCTGGAGATAACTTTTCTCCGAAATATGTCAAAAGTATAAATTATGTAGTAAATTGTTAACCTGAGGTGTTTTATCTCTTTGAGTCCCAAGGAACGCATCATACGTTCATAGGTCCTGCCTAGAGGCCGAATGAACGCAAGATGCGCCAATTTTACATCTCTCTTGACTACCCCTTGGGCCTCTGAAGCTAAACTCCCTGAGACTCAGAGTTAAGAGCTAAACAACTTTTAAAAAAATAATGGCAGTTGATGTATCCTCCTTTCAGATATTTATTGTCTTTCTCCCTAACTTGCACGTGTACATTGTTTTCTATGACCTTGTAGTTATTTATGCTCCTTTCATTTATACTGGCCTACTTTGTAACATTTAAGATTTTCAATGGTGTTAAATTCTAACGGTTTGCATAGTTACCTCTTAATTGTCAGCATTTTATGCATGGCTTTTTTAATGTGTTGTTAAACATGTGTAGTGTTGACTGATGTCCATCTCCTGCATTGTGTACATAATTTTGTGTGTATATGGCAACAGCTCTTACAGAGACTCCTATGGCAGCAGTCTGAGAGAGATGCGTGACGACAGACGAGAAAGTTTCACCCGGCCTTCACCAAGAGAGTACCCTTCACAGCGTTTCTCTCTAGAGTACCCAGAGAGAAGTCGAGACACCCGGGAGTCTCCTAGGGAGTACGGTTCATCAAGAGAATTCAGAGAACCATTGAATGGAAGAGCAGAGTTCAGAGACAGGTACTGTAGTCTTCTTCGTGTTTACCGGCTGAAAACTCCAGCAGAAAGTTCTTTTTGTTCAACCACTTCTGATCTTTTCGTCATTTTACAAAACCTGAGTGTTGAGTGTGCATCTGTTTTACAGATGATTCATTTGCATGCAGTTGTTGGTTCCTTGCTTGTCAGGCAGGGGCACTCCGAGTATTGTAGTGATATAATTATTTTTTTTAGTTTTCTGAGGTAGGCAGTCCTTTATCAGATACCGCCTTAACGATGTGAAGTGTTGATACCTTCACATACTCTAAACTGTTGTCACATCAGGCTTGTTCCTTTTCTCATGGTCTTCTGGTTCCTAGGATTTTGTTTATTGTCCTTACAGCATGGAGTTTAATGTTTACCAAGTCCCCCACCACCAAAAAGTAAAGTTGACAAAAAAAAGTAATGGACCTTTTTCCACGCCTTTATGCATATACTAGACCTATATTTGTATAGAACAATCGGCACAAGATGGGGGATATGGTCAGCACCACGCCGGTAGCCTTTACTTCCTGGGACTGCACCCGGTACCCACTCAGTGCTGGGTTAACCTGGTAGCCAAGATCATTTTTTTGCACAATATTCAGGCTCCACCAGGGAGCAAATCCACAACCTTGCGACCTGCAGGCGAGCATCTAGCTGTTTGGCCACAGCGATTCCCGCAAATTCTGCACTTCACAGTAATTTAGCATAAGGTAGGGATTTTAATCCTTAGCTAAATAGGATTTGAGGTTAATATCTTTCAGCTGCCAGGGGGGGGGGGGGGGGGGGGGGGTGGAAGGAGCTGTCCTCCCATTGAAGTAGACACTGAAACAGGTGTTCAGGGAACCTGCCGCTTTCAGATACCATTAACACACTCCACATGTTTATTTTCCTGCATGCCTAAACAGCTTTGTTGTATTGGTACACATTATCTTCTTCTAAAATTCATAATTTTTTCTTCATTTTTAACAATATTCATTGAAATTTCAGAGAATATTCATCTCGGATGATATCTCGACAGGAGATTAGAGTAACCAGCAGAGGACCACCACCCAGAGAATATGGAGGTGAGATTATTGTGATGTGTTTGTGTGAGTGAGTGCAGGCAAGCAGTGTGTCTACAAACCGATTACGAATGGTTGCTACACGTTAAAAATATATATAATGCAAATATTTCACATGATGATGGCGGCCATCTTGAATTTGTTTGACTGTTTATAGAAACTGCAGATGTTTTAAAACCACCATTTTTTTCCCCAGTGTATAGCGAATTGGTTCAATTACATTGCAACAAAATGTTGGGCACATGGCTGTCAATGATTTTTTTTTTTTTTTTTTTTTTTTTAGCTAAATGGGAGCAATTATTTAACGATTTACAGTTTTTTTCTTCGCTTTTTTAGTGTTTATTTGTCATTACAATGAGCATTTGTGGATGCTTGATTATAAATGCTAGTTGAAGTTTGAGCTACTACCTTCAATTCCTGGAGTTGATGCTGTTGACCTCAGTCCTTGTCGGGAATGTTGATATCCTCAACTGTGTGGTGTAGCTTGTGTGGTGTTGGCTAAAAGGGACAAAGCTTTGCTTTAGAAAGGCAGTTACGTAACTCAGACGAACAAAAGATACTGTGTACTCTTGCTGCTAACATCATTGGATTCAATTCTGACTTTTGTCCAAAGCATTCCAGTCTTTATTTCTTAATGAATTTGTTGATAAGCATTGTTAAAGTGGTTCTTCTCTTCAGTAGTAATAATTTAGATAATTCAAAGTAAGCATAGTTATGTTGATTACATTAAAACTTTTCTGTGGTGGTTAGGTCGAGGAGGGCCACCAAGAGGAGGACTGCGTGGGGGAAGAGATGAGCGAGGCAGCTATCGTGGGAGTCGAGGTGGATACATGAACGGTAAGAATTTGTGTATTTGTTGGTTGTTTTTGTTTGTGAATGCTTCGAAGGCCTGTGAAGTAGAATGTCTTTGTACTACAATCCACAGGTGTCTAGAGCTAGAGGCAGACCACACAAAAAACTGGATGGACAAAGGGAAAGGTTCAATGAAAAAGATTGGGAGTAGCTTCATGTGATAAAACCAAAGAATAGGATGGAGGATAAAAGGCTGAAGAAGAATACCCTGCCAGTACACTGGGGAAAGTACTTTATATTTAAATAGCAGCCTGCGTTTGAATCAAGTACATTTTCTGTTATATATGAGATCAGTGCAAAAGTCAACTGTGCTAACGTTCACACAAAACTACCTATTTGTGTGCTGTGCTCACAAGTTGAAAGTGGAATTGTAAATCATTTGATTTGAACACCGGAGTTGGGGATTGCATTCATGAATGCTTGTATTTCTTCATTGGAGGGGGAGAAACACAGGGATTGCATTTCCTATGTATGTCAATGGAATTGAATGCTGGATTGAATCTGCCATAATCTTAATAACTTTGTTCAGTGAACACTAGCTTGTGTTCTAATAAAAGTAGTGCAAGGCAAGCTAATGACTTGTATGAATAAGTTCCAGTAGTTCAAGAGGTGAGAAAAAGACAGTGATGGATAGGGCACAGTAAGAACACTGATAATAAACTGGAAGGTCCTTTGACTGGAAACCACGGTGTAAAAGAGAGGAAGACCTAAACAGATAGAAAAGATATTTTGACATTGATGTGAATGTTAGGACATAGAGCATATGATATAGCAAGATAATGCTACCTGATTGAAGGTTTGGGCCAGAAGAACATGCTTCTATTGGAAAATACAATGGAAATTTCAACTAAGAAAGAAAAGAAATCAATTTTCATAATGTAGAAAGGTAATCGTAGATCCAGTGTCACAGCAGAACGGGTTATCTTCTTAGTCGCTTTGTTCCTGTGCCATTGAAAACCACACAAAATGCCCATCACGCTCTCCTGTGAAATTATTGATACAGTCTCGGCTAAACTAAAAGCGTACACATACATTTAATGCAAATGACGCCAGTCACATGGACAGTTGGGAGAGGGGGATCCCAGCATGGTAATACTATCCTTAGATAACTACCTGTAGCAGTTTATGTCTTTCATGCTTCAGATCATGAGGTGAGGAAAAGGTGCTGTCATTGGACTGGACACATTGAGAAAACCTGATAACAGTATAACTAGAATGCTCTTGCGCTGCATCCCACAGGATAGACCAAAAATATCCAGAAAAGAGAATTAGCAAAGTAAAACAGATGGGATTTCGAGCAAGCTGAACTTGACGGCAAAGAATAGAATGACCTGGTTTAGGCTGGTTAAGGCTAAGTGCCCTATTGGAGGATAGCAGACAGAAGAAGAAGATACTTGTGTCGATGGTCATTTGGGGGGAGGGGGGGGGAATTTACAGAAAAAAAGTACCCAGTGAAATAACATCACATAAAAATGTACCCGCTCACATGAGATTCAACATAGTTTGATCTGATTTACTTGCCAGTGTATTTACAACAGGTGAAGTGGTTCAGACAGTGCATTTCACTGGGAGGTGTATTCCCTATTTTTATTTTTACCTGGTAGCAGTAGTAACACTGACATTGCTGCACCAATAAATATAAGAGAATCACTAACATGCAGCAACAAACGCTTCATACAGAGGTCTGTGACCTTATCTGAAAAATGTGAAACAGAAAGGGAAAAGTTTCAATAGTTAAAACTTTTGTTGCTGTTTTTTGCAGTAAACATCATGAAATGCTTGTTTAAAGGTTGTCACACATTTTCTTCCGTTATGTAAAACTAAAACAGGTTCCCGTGGCAGAGGAGGACCACCACGAGGTAGAGGAAGGCCCGAATTTCGTGGGGGTAGGAGGTCCCCACCACCCAGTCGAGATGGGCCCATCGGTAAACGCCCACGCTTGGTGGATGAGGAAGATGGCTATAGCAGACGATAAATTCCTTTGATCTTCCTGCAGACTGTGGAGGGAAATGGAGAAAGAAAACTATGAATGTTGTCACAAAGAATGGTGAAAATCAGTTTAAGGCAAGAAATGAGGGCTTGTTTGCATCTATTGTTGAAGGTTAAATCTGGTGAGAATATGTTTGTGCAATGACCGATACAACCGGATGTAGTTTCAAACATGTCTTGTTCGAGAAAGTGAAATCAGTCTCAACTTCAGCAAGTTCTTTGTAGATAACGATGAGTTGCTGTGAAACATGAATGTATTTTTATGTTTTCATCAAAGAATTAGTCAACCCTTGAATGAACACTTTGTAGAACCAAAAATAATTGACAAAATGCAGGAGGAAGCACACTCGAGGGATTAAAATGAATCACAGCTACATCATTTTTTAACTTGATGAAACCTTCAAGGAGACTGATGTTTTATGGGAATTTGAATTGACTAGTTTCCTTCCACATGTGTCTTAGAAACCATGATCTTCAATCTTGATGTTATGTATGTACGTTTTGTGTCAGCCCACACATTTGGTTTTATTTACATTATGTACAGTTGGACAAGATCTAAAATAATCCAGAAATGAGGGCTATTTGCTTTGTACGCCTGGAAAATAATCTAGAATAGAATTTGCTCTGAACATTTTTAAAAGGTCTATAATAGTGCAGAAGAGATGGCAGTGATTTGTTTTGGGCAACTAGAAAAATCTAAAACATTGCTGAAGAGATGGCAGTAATTTGTTCCGGGCAACTAGAAAAGATTTAAAACATTGCAGAAGAGATGGCAGTGATTTGTTCTTTGCAACTGGAAAAGATCTAAAACATTGCAGAAGAGATGGCAGTGATTTGTTCTTTGCAACTGGAAAAGATCTAAAACATTGCAAAAGAGATGGCAGTGATTTGTTTTGGGCAACTAGAAAAATCTAAAACATTGCTGAAAAGATGGCAGTAATTTGTTCCTGGCAATTAGAAAAGATATAAAACATTGCAGAAGAGATGGCAGTGTTTGTTCTTTGCAACTGGAAAAGATCTAAAACATCGCAGAAGAGATGGCAGTGATTTGCTCTTTGCAACTGGAAAAGATCTAAAACATTGCAGAAGAGATGGCAGTGATTTGTTTTGGGCAACTAGAAGAATCTAAAACATTGCTGAAGAGATGGCAGTAATTTGTTCCGGGCAACTGGAAAAGATTTAAAACATTGCAGAAGAGATGGCAGTGATTTGTTCTTTGCAACTGGAAAAGATCTAAAACATTGCAGAAGAGATGGCAGTGATTTGTTCTTTGCAACTGGAAAAGATCTAAAACATTGCAGAAGAATTGGTAGTGATTTGTTTCGTGCAACTAGAAATGTTAGCGAGGAGATAAAAAAAACTTTTCCTCTGAATTTGGATGTCGGGCCTCTTACATCTGCAGTTGACTCAGCTGTTTGGTTTTTTTTTTGTAAATACACGCCATATTGATTAAGCTATTTGTGGCAAGAATGGTTTAAACTCTGCCGAAATATCAGACCTGATGTGAAAACACTCTGATCGGTTCATATTGTTGAAAAATCGGCCTTGAAAGTGCGTAATTTTCCATCATTATGTGTCAAATTATTCATTTTTTTTTTTTAATGTCCATTCACCTTCGATAGATTGACCAATTTTGGTTTTATAAAAGTGTTCTTAATTTTAATCATTAGTTCATTGTTTGTGCTTCTTAATGTAGACACTTCTGCGCAAATAAACGCTTAATACTGAAGTTCCTGGTCCACGTTTTATTATATTAAGGTCCAGCTGCGGCTGCAGTCCTATCTATTTTATCAGAAGTGAATAGAATCAGGCCAGAGATGACTTACACTTTCTTGACCTGCATGGACAGGTCATCATTCTGTGACTCAGGACAGGACATAACAAACTTAACAAGCATTTGCGCAGTAAGTCTATGTGGGCAGACTACAAAACGTGTCTTGCAAGAATGTCCTTGTGCAGCCCATTAAGAAGGGAATATTAGCCTAGTTAGTCAACATCATACTTAAAGTTGTATGAAACTTGCAGGGAACCCCAAAACACCGTGTAATAACACGATATCGTCTGTCTGTGTAAGTCAAAGAGCGATCACAAAAGACGAAGCACAAGGACTAGCAATACAGTACCGACACACTCAAAACAGAACATGCTTCTATAGGTGACACAGATATAATCACTGCCTGGAGGTACCTTAGAGTTGACAGGTCCGGTTAAAGTTAACTGGTTGTTGGAGGTATCTGCTTGCCATTTGTAAGTGGTGTAAGATTATTGGCTGATCTGCGTACTCTGTTCAGAAGATACAACTTGTCATCAGAGATTGTCATTTATTTGCTTCAGAGGTTGTGTGAAGAGATGCTGCATCTACTAGTGTGCATAGTAGATATCAAAGTTAATTTCCGAACAGAATTTAATTAAGAAGGTAATACTGACTCATTGATGCCTAGAATTGTATGGAACTAAATGGGAGCTCCTAAAAACAGTCAGTTTTATCAAAGAACTCTTGTATCTGGGTTAATCAGAGAGCGAACGCAAGAAGAAGAAAAGGTTCAGCATAATTGATGATTTTGGGTGTGGGTGAGATCTTGTAATGCCAACAACTTGACCGAGTCTACCCATGCACTTTTGGGAAATACTTTACAAAAACATCTAGTCACCAGCTCAGGGAGAAACTGATGGAGGATGTTACAATGCAGGATGTTACAATGCAGAATGAACCATCCACTGAATTTAGCTGCTCATTAAAAAAAAATGCTCACACATTTTTCATAACACCAGTAGTTACATACTTTTTTACTTCTGACATTGAAAGGTAGATCTTCATACTTGTTTCATAGACTGCAGAAGGGCATTTACTGTGTGCAACACCATAAACTATGGCATATAATAAGAGGCATAGGATTTCCAAAAAATACTTCTGGTGCACCTAATGGAATCTCTTAACCATGACCAACCAGCAGCGGTCAGAATAGCTGGTGAAACATCAGAGTGGTTTTAAGTGC